AGGTGTGTCTGTTGGAGGGGTGTCAGCCATTTATCATTTTTTTCCACTTTCACTTGCGAAATGAGAGCCTGTTTCTCTTTCTTCAGTTGTTTTTGCTTTCTGATTCTCTCTCTGACATGCTGTGGCATGTTGTTGGGTCTGACTTCCTGATTTGTTAGGGGAAATCAGCATAGAAGTCACCTCTGTCCTTTGCATCAGTTTACAAGAAAAAGAACAGTTCCCTGAGCTGCCAAACTAATGAAGACGTTTTCTCAATGAACTCATGCTAGGCATTTCTGTTTTAACTTGATTAAACTTTGGCTGTAGCGTGGGCTCCCGCATTGTCAGATACAAGAGAATCAGGGTGGGGGAGTGTGGTTATGGGTACCTTACCCATGGGAAGAGGCATCCAGCCTCAGTAGCCATCAGAGAAGGGGAGAAGCTGTGCCTGGTGGGGATTCTCTGGTGACTAGTAAGGCATAATATGCCGACAGAAGCTTTATTCAGTAGGTGTATTCATGTTGGTTTCCTCCCATGTAGATGTCTAGATGTTTCCTGAGGGGTCATCTCACACTGCGAACTTTCTCGGAAGTGGGAGCAGTAATAGGTCTTCCCATCTGCCTGCCCACCTGCAGTCATGAAACTTGCTAGGAACTTTGTATTTGCTGAGATCTTTACTCCTCTGTCACGTTTGGCTGAAATTGCCCAGCAGGTTTGAATGTTGTTAATGGTGGTACTGACAGCTGGAGTAATACAAACACACAGACGGAGAAGGATTGCAGAAGTCTTCTTAGGAAATCCAGCTAAAAATAACAGAAACTACCCAGCCCCTCTTCCCTTCCCCCAAATATATGTGAAAGCCTAAATGGAAACGCTGTCATCCTTTTTATTCCAGCTTTATCTGTTATTATTTGCCTAGGAATCATAAGAAAGCCAGGGATGAGCCTAGTGCATCTCAGAGGACACCGTAGGTTGATCATCATGGGTAGCTTGCAGTGTTACAAATCTGTTCTTAAAGGGGGTCCCCAAGTGCATGGGACATATATGGACTCCTCCACTATTGGATTCACTGTGTGGCATGAAGAAGGCTTTGTGTGATCTATCTTCTTAACTCGTTTCTTAAGGAAGCAGAGCTCTGAACGTGTTTATATGTGCGCTCTCCTGTATCTGTGTGCCTGCTTCTCCCCAAATACAATCTGAATGTCATCATTTCCGTCACATTTAAAGTAGAGATCTCAAAGACAGTAAGTTGCTACAAGCTTGTGAACGTAGTTTGCTGACTAGAGGAGTGAAAGAGACCTTCTTAATGGCCCTGCTGAGGGAAAGAGAGTAGTATGAGATGAGCCCTTATGAGACGTCAGAGAAACGGCACAGGCGTGGCCATGCTAAGGGACACATCTGGAGGAAACCTGTCCTCGTTACTTCTGCTGCTCATAGCTCCTAATGCTCAACTCGTTTCTCTGAGCTTTGAAGGAAAGACGAAACTTTTGAGGGGAAGCGCGAGAAGCGGATGGGCCAGGAGAGCGGGGCGCAGAGGGTGGTTTTTCGCGCAGGATTCCAGGGTCTTTCTGGGAATCTCGGGGTGTATTCCGAATTCCCAGTAGATATCGCACAAAGGCAGCGGCAGCGCCTTCTTTTCGATGTGGGATTTGGGGCGCGCAGTCGAGTTTCGGCGACGGCGGCAGGGAGGGCCGCGCGTCGGTGC